ATATTTTAATCTATGAATTCTGTTAGATCAAATAATCTAAGTTTGAAATATCAAAAGTTTAAACCGTCATGGTTGCAAATATATAGGAATCAGAAAACTTGAGTTTGTGGCAAAGAATCTCTTCTTTGTTTCCTATTGAAATATTTGTTTTCTTAATAATGCTATAATATGTCTGATCTGATTGAAACGCTAGCTAAAAACACTGTAAAGTAACAAGGAGGAGGAAAAGGTCAATTGACATTACCATAAGTTGAACTACGCCATCTAAATATATACTTTGCTTTGAGTGTCTTTATGGTTGTTTGTCCGTTTTTATCCAATAAACGTCAAAACGACTAAACTGATTTGGTCCAAATTTTTTTGTGGGACCTCACTTCACGCCAGAAAATGTGCACAATTGAAGGCGAAGCGCCTTAAAAGCCTAGTTCCCAAAATACTTTGTGATGGTTATTTGGGGCTATATCGGTCCGGGAAAGGGCTATTAAGATCATCTCAAGGTTATGAAGCATAATGAATTATTAAATCATAAATAAAAGCTAAATATTTACATATCTGGAACTGTAGAGCACTGTATAGAGTGGTATTTATGACTGGAATTGAATTGATGAGTTTAGATACACAATATCACTCAACATGCATCAGTGTATTGCAACAGTCTTATCATATTTACAAACTCTCATTTGTTTACAATATTTACTTCTCTTTCTATTAAAAGATAAAACAGAATTTCAATCGAATTTTTAAGAATACAATCTTTACAATCATACATTTTTTAATTGTTAACCATGATGTAAGGACGAAGATTGAACCAGCTGTAAGTCCACACCAATTATATTTTTTTGTTCAGGTTTATTTGTCTATGCCAGTCTTCTAATCAAAATAAACAATTGTCATGCTTTTTGTTTTTCTTTGTTTAAAAACGTTGATTTTATATTTGAAATTTTTAAACGTGTTGTATGGCAAAAAGCATAATATTTGGTGAGTTAAAAAAATTGTTATCAGATTTATCTTGAAATTTAGTAAAAAAAAATTTGGATGACTAGGATTTTTATAAGAATTCCACGTGTAAGTTCCAAATTTCGAAAGGACAACATCATATTTCTAACTTTTTCTTAAAATATTTTTCAAAAAGCAAGACATTATTTATTCAGGGAAATTAAGTTTGTATTGTTTAACGTGTATTAACATAATGTACTGCATATCACGGTCGTGTAACGCTAAAATATTTTATTGTCTTAAACTCAACTTTAAACATTTTCAATGATTTTGACCGATTTAATAAGTTCAGTGGAAAAAGGATTTGTGAATTATAAGGTTGTTATTAAAGATTAGGTAAAATATTAAAAGTTTTCAGAAACTCTATTTTCAATATTCAAATATAGAAAGCTACAGTTTTAGACAAGTCTTGTTTTATCCAAAAGAGTTATTTTTCTATCAGAATCTCTTAATTTTATTTACTTTATTAAATTTGAGACTTTTTAGGATCTCCTGAAGTATTTTGTTGTACTCCCATTGCAGCTTTAAAACTTTATTTTTAACTGCCTCAAAGTTGGATTCCACTTTCTTGTTCAAAATAAACTCTTGAACACCGTAATATTTCTGTTCAATCATCTGAATTCTTCTTTCCAAGTTTGAAAAATGAATATAGATTTCATGATCATTCAAAGTTTTCCTCGCAATTCTGTTTAATCTGCTGAAGGGATTTAAGAACCGTCCAACTAAATCTTTAGATTTTCTCTCCTCTTTCAGGTTTTGCCTCTTCTGCTCCGCCTCCCTAGCTCCTCAACCTAGAAGCAGATAAAACATGAAACCTAGGCGCACCGCGCAGATAAAACATTTTTTTAAAGATCTAAATATTTATATTTCCGACATTATTCTACATGCTCTTACATTTTTATTTGTTCAAGAAAAACATCGTAGAATTTACAATATTACAATATAACTAATATGTGAGTAGATTGCAGAGTTATTTTTATTTTAAAAAATATTTGAGATTTGTTTAAATTAGGGTTTCAGGTTTGGGACTGTAATTTAATTGTAGGATAATGTTAAGTTATCTTTCTTTTAACAATACCGTTTCAAATTTAATAAGATTGTAGAGTTTTAAGGCGTGAACAAATATTGGCAGTATCTATCTACATTTTGTTGTTCATTGACACGAAAGGCACAGATTTGAAATGGGTTAAAAAGTAAAGCACAGAACAAAGGTTTATAGATCTATGATAAGATAATACGTGATTATAGTTTTTATTTTAACCTTAAAGGGACTGTAAAGGAAAAATGAAATAGGGTATAAGCTGCAAACCTACGCACTTGATCGAGACATATAAGAGTTCTATGTGATGTTCCTGTCTCGAGAAATTAATATAAAACTGTATCAAAGTTATACTAAAACTAATGTATAGGAGAATTGATATAAGAATATATGTTTCAAACAGATCATATTCAGCAAATACGGAATTAATTTGAAAACTGCAATAACCCAGAGGAGCCTTTTTGATTTTTAGTAGATATAATTGGTAATATAATTGATGCGTCTTTATCGCGTGACCAGAACTTCCACAAGTACAAGTAACTAGTCATGTACCCTATTTTTAAAATACATTGCTATAGATCAATTGAGCTCATCGAATTAAATAATGTTAATAATTTGGTTTAAAATCTCTATTTAATTTTCTAATAATTTAGACAATAAATAACTTAGGCATGGTATGCCGGAGAAACAGGTTTATAAGAAGGAGCAGCAGCACCATAGGTTGGAGTACCAGAGTATGTAACATCAGCAACATATCCACTGTAAGCATCAGCAACCTTGTAGTTAACAGTCTGAAGTCTACCATCAGGAAGAGCAACAGAGTAGGATCCAGATGTAGCATATCCATCACGGTTCTCTCCAGCATTATACTTAGATCCAGAGTAATCATCAGCTACAGCATACTCATAAGCATATACAGCAGGTTCATTATAGGCAGGTTCATTGTATGCAGGGGCACCATAGGAGGGTTTAGCATGGACAACAGGGGCTTTGTATGCAGGGGCAGGGGCAACAACAACAGGGGTGTTGTAGACAGGAGCAGGAGCATAGGTGGGAGCAGGAGCATAGGCAGGAGCAGGAGCGTAGGCAGGAGCAGGAGCGTAGGCAGGAGCAGGAGCGTAGGCAGGAGCAGGAGCGTAGGCAGGAGCAGGAGCATAAGCTGGAGCAGGGGCATAAGAAGGAGCAGATGAGTAACCAGGAACAGCAGCAGGTGCAAGGTTTGCTGCAATAGGTTTCTCTTGGTTTACATAAGAGTCAACAGCCTGAGGAGCAGCATGGGGCTGGCTTACAACAGAAGCTGTAGCAGCAAAGTGGGGCTTGTGAACAGAATGGCTGACAGAGGGAGAATTTCCATGCTTGATGCTTTGATGATGGGACTGATCAGCAGTAGCAGCTGCTAGGAGAGCAAAGCAAAGATAAGCCTAAATTGAAGAATATAAATAAGTATGAATAACAAGAAATATCAGATTTATATAAAGTCAAATACAAACCTTCATATTGTTGGATGGTTTTGATCTAACTGATGAGGTTGAATTAGAGAGCAGGGTTTATATACTGATCTGTGTATAGGTCAAATATACGCTACTCTTTCAGTCTCCACCCTTGCCCAGACATACATACCAATCCTTCAATGTATCAAGATTAGATGTAAAAGGGATGTTTACGATTCAAACACTCAATCTACACTTTTTATATCCAGAGGATTGTATTTCATAATGCTGTCTTATTTATAAGAAAGAAGACAGAAAAGGTCGTCGTTTCGTAATTTCTCTTTTAACTAATTATAAACAAAAAGTGCTTACTTATATAAGCTAAGGTTATCCAGAAAGAAATCCTTGAATTAAAAAGGTGTGATTTAGTCATATTGTGAGGATTAACATATTCCCTAGAATGTAATACATTTTTTCTTGAATAAAATTAGACGAGAAAATAGTATAGTTATAGTATTTATTTTCAAACACAAAATACAAAATAATAATGTATGATGGTTCAGCTAAAAACAAAACACGAAAGAAAATTTATTTTGAGACAATTGAAAATTTAATGTTTAATAATTTTGTTCTGATCGGTATTTGTTGAAACAAAGTATACATATTGAAATCTCAACTAAATATACATTCATTGTGCATTTACAAGTAGATAATTAGTCAGCACTCAAATAATCAAAACATTTTCAGAAATGCGTTCATTGAACGTATAAATATAATGCCTCTATACTAAAGAGCTAACATAATTGCTCTTTGGTTTAAAAGATACTAACGATGAACCATCAATGTTCTTATTTAGCATATTTCTTAATTATTATGTTCCTTCGGTCACCTTGCTTATGAAGCATCAATACTAACGAGTTAGCATAATTTCGCTTAAAATTAAAAGCGTTCCTCGTTGGTTTTAATTATACTGTTCCTTCATTTATCCAGTTTATACAGTCTTAAAACTAATGAGCTAACATAAATTCTCTTTTTATTCAAAAAAGAAAACTAGCTCCCGCGCATGTATTATGAAAACATGCACAAAGTTATTTTTAGCACATTCTAATATGTGACAACACAAAGTGTGTTAGTAATAACCCTCAGTTTTATTGAATACAGATATGATATCACATGATAAATAATGTATTTTGTTTTTTCTTTTCTCTTGAACTGCTGCCTCACCAATACTTGAATATAAATGTATCATTAAATTTGGCGGGAAAAAACAAAGAAAAAAAATGTATCCGTAACTTAACTGTTCTCTTCTTAATTTCGTTTGTCAAAAATGAATATACACGATATTGTTGTAAAATATTTTTATTTTTGTAACATGTAAACAATTTTGTAAAATTAACATAATCTCGACACGGAGATAATAAATATCTAGATCACAAAAAGAACTTATAAATACATATTGATTCAGCAAAAGGCAGCATATTCTCGTTGACTGTAGTAGACTTTGACATCTACCATTAGCAAAGGGTGTGAACCCATTCTCGTTGACTGTAGTAGACTTTGACATTTACCATTAGCAAAGGGTGTGAACCTATATATGTTGACTATAGTGTAGTAGACTTTTACATCCATCATTAGCAAAGGGAGTGAACCCATTCTATGTGAACCCATTCTTGTTGACTGTAGTAGACTTTTACATCCATCATTAGCAAAGGGTGTGAACCCAATCTTGTTGACTGTAGCAGACTTTGACATCAACTATTAGCAAAACAAAGAGTGTTAACCCATAATCGTTGACCGTGGTAGACTTTGACATCAACTATTAGCAAAGGGTGTGAACCCATAGTCGTTGACTTTTGTAGATTTTGACATCCACCATTAGCAAAGGGTGTGAACCCATACTCGTTGACAGTAGTAGACTTTGACATCTACCATTAGCAAAGGGTGTGAACCCATAGTCGTTGACTTTAGTAGACTTTGACATCCACCATTAGCAAAGGGTGTGAACCCATACTCGTTGACAGTAGTAGACTTTGACATCTACCATTAGCAAAGGGAGTGAACCCATTCTTGTTGACTGTAGCAGACTTTGACATCTACCATTAGCAAAGGGTGTGCACCCATTCTTGTTGGCTGTAGTAGACTTTGACATCCACCATTAACAAAGAGTGTTAACCCATAATCGTTGACCGTGGTAGACTTTGACATCAACTATTAGCAAAGGGTGTGAACCCATAGTCGTTGACTTTAGTAGACTTTGACATCCACCATTAGCAAAGGGTGTCAACCCATACTCGTTGACAGTAGTAGACTTTGACATCTACCATTAGCAAAGGGAGTGAACCCATTCTTGGTGACTGTAGCAGACTTTGACATCAACTATTAGCAAAGGGTGTGAACCCATTTTTGTTGACTGTAGCAGACTTTGACATCTACCATTAGCAAAGGGAGTGAACCCATTCTTGTTGACTGTAGTAGACTTTGACATCAACTATTAGCAAAGGGAGTGAACCCATTTTTGTTGACTGTAGCAGACTTTGACATCTACCATTAGCAAAGGGTGTGAACCCATACTCGTTGACTGTAGTAAACTTTGACATCTACCATTATCAAAGGGTGTGAACCCATACTTGTTGACTGTAGTAGACTTTGACATCTACCATTAGCAAAGGGTATGAACCCATACTCGTTGACTGTAGTAGACTTTGACACACACCATTAGGAAAAAGTGTGAACCCATTCTCATTGACAGTTAAAGGTTATATAAGGGTTGCGATCCTAGTCCTGTATATACTCTGCAAGCATTTTGCATTCTTTCTCTCAGTGAGAAGAGGTGTTGACACCTCAACTGCTTTCTACTAACTATATCTGGTCTAATATCTGGATTTTTTTACGTTTAAAGGGAATCTGGGTGGAATCTGGTCCATAAAAGAATTTGATTAATTTCTTTGGACACTGATCTAAATAAAATAATATCAGATTTGTACTTTTTTCGAAAAAGTGTGGAACCTATCATAAACTCAATTTTTAAATTCGAATTTTATTTCCAATGAAAAGAAGTGAAATGTTTCAATTTTAATAAGTGTAGAGTTGTAGAATTTTATCTTAACCCTATTCCTGCTGGGGGGGG